TCCAGCTCTTAAATTATTTTAAAATATTACCTGAATGAGATGATGTCCAATCATACTATCTTTGAGACAAAATGAAATGGTCTACCTCCCACAAGTCAGTATTCTCAACTGGCATATTGCTACCCTTGGAGGGTATTTAGAAATGCCAGGAGCAGTTTGGGTTGTTATGGAAACTCCTTGAGTGTCAGAGGCAACTGGTATTTAATCCCCTAGGAATGGGAGATGCTAAATATCCTATTCAGGGGAGTCTCACAACATACAACAGTACCCCGCAGCACTAGTGTGAAACTGTACAAAACTTAAATAGTTATACTTGCATATTAGTCTTTGACCTTACAAGTAAGGGCTTCCCTCCCCCCACTTTGAACTACTAAAATGGCCAGTAACTTAGTAAACTGAGTATCATTCAAGAAGGATAGAGTGCATGCAAATGACTGGCACCCATGATGACTGGCATCCTGCAAACCACAAGACATTGACTACCCTGAAAGGGTAGCTCATCCCCATGTGAAGAAAAGATATTTAAGAACTTAGAAGATAGGGACAGACAGGGGTACTGTTCTCTTTTTTGACTCTTGGGCCAATTTAACACAGATCCTTGGCAGGAAGGAAGGAGGAAGGGAGGGTGGATAAGAGGAAGGGAGGAAAACACTTAAAGTTGGGGCTGCATATTTTCATTGAGGGGATACCTGAGAGCAAGCCTGCACTTCTTCAGTTACTGGGAGCCTCTTTAGCACTGCAGTCCCCAAAGAGCTTTCTGTCTAAGGGTTTCTCATGAAGCATAGCCAGGAACAGCCGTTCCTAAACCTTTTCTACACTCAGTTATATGTTAGCCCACATTTTAAGAAGCTGTGCCTTTGGATGCAAGCCAAAAATGTTGCTTGGTTTTCAAGAAAATAATTATGGTCTGCTCTGGGGCTGAGAAAAATAGCTGTGATGTACTTACTGAGAGATGTGTCTGTGTGTGTCTATAACATTAAGCTCGTGGCAGTAGATGCTAAGCAGAGACAGGCAAAGAGAAACAGGACAGGTAGTTCTGAACAACCATCCTGTGAGCAACGTCCCACTCAGAGTTTCTGGGCCTGGCCATACCTGACTTGATTTCATAAGCCCCACTATTCCATTCCTCAACCCTCACTCCTTTTATGGAGCTAGATAGCATGCAATTCTGCATTTTGTGCCCAAATAAGACTTTCCTGAACACCTGGCTATATCCTATCCGTTGGAGTCCTCGGAAAACTGTGAAGGCATGGAAACTAGAGATGTCTCTTCCATTGTAGAACTCCCCCTGACCTTCAGTCACACATGGCCTTTTGAGGATGTGCAGAATTTAGATGGTATTTTAGCATTCCCTACCATCAGCTGTTTGTTTTCTGCTGATGTTGCATAAAACATCCATTCTGGTCCAAACCATTCCTCTGATGTTTTCTCTGAGCTACAGGTGCAATTGACAGCGTGAGCATGGATTTCCTCCACTGTTCATCACATTTGCCATGGAAATAATAACAATGGTTGCTAAATTTTCAGCAAGCATCTTTTTTTTTTTTTTTTTTTTTTAACTGTTAAATTAATGGTTTTGAAATGTCCATACAGGATAGACATAAGTGAGCCAGTGTGTCTTACTTTCTTTTCCATACTTCCATGATACCTGGGGCTCCTCCAGATGCCTGGGTGTTGGGAATAGGTATTCAGGCTACTGCTGGGGGCAGTAGGTCCTTCATCCTTATCAAGGCAAACATCTCAGAGCACTTGATAGATACTATAGCCCCTCCCAAGGCCTGCAAATGTAGCACAGCGGAAGGTATAAGCCCAAAGTCAAAGACAGGCTGGAGCAGAGAAGGCCCTAAGTGAAGTCCTGATTGAATGCATATTTTGATATGGGCACAGCCATGCCTGTGACTCCAAGGCCTTGGACCTATGAGACATTTGGCAAATGCACTTCCTTCTATGGGCCAGGCTCCAAGAGGGGTGGCAAAGCTCTCCTTAGGAACCCAGGTAAGCATGTTTATAAATGAGTGATCAATGCGAGCAAAGGCTAGCAACTGCAGCTTCCTCCTCTCTATTGAGGTTCTGGGCTGCTGCTGTTTGAGATTCTCACCTGATCCTGATTTTACTGTGGATGTGTCTATGTGTCTGTCCTTTTTCATTCCCTTCAGGCCCCTAGCCAGGGTTCCAGGATCCAAACTATGGAGCAAGGTACCAGATAAGACAAATGCCAATGTCAGCCAGAGCCCATAGCCAGCAAGGAGATGTTGTAAGCATATCAGAGCCGTGGGGCTGAGAGATAGAGAAGTGACCAGGGGTTAGACTGGTTGGGGGCAGATAAAGGGGAGACTGGACAAGAGCAGGATTTCTTTACAAGCTTTACACAGAAGTGGAAAATGAAATCTGAGGAGTGTGGTGTCAGAGACAGAGCCAACATGGGAGGGAGTAAGAACGTGAATGACAAGTGATTCAATGCTTTTCAAGAGACAATCAACAGTTTAACCAAGGGAGAGGAGAAAGAAAAACAAGAAGTAATAACGAGACGCCATGCTGCTGAGCTGCTGTGTCTGGCATGGACCTGCAGGGAAGCCTAGGGGCAGCAAGGGAACATGGGTGACTTGTCTGGTGCTCAGCCTCTTCCCGAAGGGTCACAAGCCACCAGCCTGCTGACAGTAAGCTGCATTATCGTCCATTTATTTGTCAGGCATCAAGAAGCGTGGTGATTCATCTGGAGTCACTCATCCAAAGGCTCCAGGGGCTCTGACTCATGGGCTTTCCCGCAAGAATCCTCTCTGGGCAAGGGCGCGTGACCACCAGGCAGATGAGCAGCCCTCTGACCAGGCTGGGGATTTTTGGAACTTTTCTGAGTACCCACACTCATACGAGAAAGAACCATAACCATGGCCGCTGTGCCAGCATCCTATGACTCTTCTGTAGCCGAAGAGTACTGGTCTGGGTACTCTATCTGCTCCCAAACCATCAACATACACTTACGCATGCATGCAGAGAGTCATCTGTAGCAGGTATGTGCTTTGACTCTGAGCTGGAGTCTATGGAGGCAGGGTTATGTGAAAGGACACAGATGACAGCCTCAGAAGATAGCCTTAGCTTTTGTTTCCTTTTCAGACACCATGATGGTAACACATTCGGGCTAGCCTCCTCTCCCTGACTTTGTTCACTGACTGCATGGAGTGAAACAGATTCCCTTTATGGGAACCGATGATGGCCTTTGCCTGCTACCCAGAACTCAGATGCCAGCACGTGTTTATCTCTGTCACTATTGCTTGGGTGCACACACCAACATAAAAACAAATTGGACCTTAGGTTTGATGTCAGAGCCAGTTAATCAAGTTGAGGTGGGGATAATTTTATGAGCAATAATTCAAAGAGACACTGGCCTCAAGAGAGACTGTTAATGGCTGAAGGCTCCCCACTTTGTTCGTCCCTTTATCCTTACAAGAATCTGGGGACATGGGAAACCATGTTAGTTGGGGGGCTGGGTGGGAAGAAACCTGAACAAAGCAGAACACAGCCTCTTCTCAGGTCCTCGGGTTCCAAAGACTGGGCTATTTGCAGGAACTCTACAGGATGGGTCAGAAAAAGGGCAGAGAGAGGGTGGGAACTGCCACATGAGGCATCCTGGCCAGGAAGGGGGTCTACTCTAGGCCAAAGGCTGAATTCACTTCCCAGCCCCATCTCTAAATTCCCAGAACTCTGATCCGGAGGCTACAGTTGAGGCTGGGCATTCTGAGGCCTGTAGTCAGGAGGAGTGCTTATGAGCTGCTGTGGCAGCCAGTGACTCAGCCCTGATGGGAAGGTCAGATCCCCTTGATGGGGTCACTGGTACACTCAGCCCTGGACTCCAAAGGAAGGAACTCTTTCAAGACTTCCTGGGCTGGCAGCCGCTTTTTCATGATAAACATACCACAGTCTCTGATGTTTGTGTCCATCTAGTCTTTCTAACTAAACCAGAACAACAATAACTAAAAACCCATAATAATAATAAAAGCAACAGGGGCTTAGGTACAATCTGCCTTCTTTATCCTAATAAGGTGTGCATTCTTGGATTCGGTCAACACAGTATGAAAGATATTAAAAAACAAAACAAAACATGGCCTCTGTTCTGAACAAGAACAGTCAGTATTTCCTTAGCAACACATTTAGCAACTATTTACACGCTATTAATAAAGGTAGCAGCAGGTGACTTAAAATATATCGGAGACGTGAGCAAATACTGTATCATTCTATTTTAAATTAGCATATGATAATTTAATTAGCAAATGATAAATGTGGATCTCACGATGACTTCTTTATACGTGTATATAAAGTACTTGGACTGTATTTGCCGTCCTTTTGTTCTGTCATTTCTGTCCTCCCAGTCTCTTCCCTCTTCTTAAATAGCCTCTCTTCTACTTCCATGTCTTAACAAAGTCTGTATTTCAGCATATGAGAGAAAGCATGAATTTGTCTTCCTGAGTCTGGCCTATTTTGCCGAACGGATCATGTCCATTTTGTTCAAACAGAGAGGGCAATTATAGATGCTGCTTAGTTTTTTGGGTTTTGTTTTTTTGTTTTTAATCAACTTGATACAAATTAGAGTCATCTGGGAAGAAGGAACCCAACTGTGGAAATGCCTGCTTACATCACGTTGGCCTGTGCGCACACCTGTAGGGCTTTATTCTTGGTTAATGATTGATGTGGGTGTGCCTGGCCACCTCTGTGTAGGTGATCCTGGGTTATATTAAAGCAATCAAGGAGAGAGCCATGAGAGCAAGAGCAAGCCGGGCAGCGGCCTTCCTCCACAGTCTCTGCTTCAGGTCCTGTCTCCAGATTCCTTCCTTGGCGTCTACTGATGATGGGCTGTAGCTGAGTTTGCTACTTTGCCTCTTCCACCCTTCTCCACCCTTATTCCACCCTTCTAACCCCTGCCCCAGCACTAGGTAGGAGAGAAAGGATAGAGAAGAAAGGGCACAAAGTTATCATAGACTACTTCCTGCTGATTAGGGGTGTCGAGTTTCTTGGGGTAAGTTTGATCTTCACCAGCAAGATATTAAATTTCTTCTTCTTGTCTCTTTGCACAGGGCCACTTGACAAACTACAACAGCAGCAACCAGAAACCAGCAACCAGCAACAGCAGTAGGAGGAGCAGCTGCCGCCATTGCCCCTCCTGGGGATTTAGCATTCATCTACCCTCTCAAGAGCCCCCAGAATTCCAAATGTCACACACTTGCAGAAACTGTGCAGCTGACAAAATCATGCCCTGCAAGAGCACGAGGCAAATCATAGTCAGCTGCTGTAGATAATCCAACTCGGCTCCATATCCCACACCTGGGACTAAAACAAAAACATATTCCCATAACATTCCTGTGGTGGTGGTTGTTTTTTTTGAAGAAACCAAAATTCTCACTACAGTGGACTGTAAGCCATAACCTGGACTAGAGCCATTCTCCCACACGTTGCATTTGATCATGGTGTTTTGTTACAGCAACAGAAAGAAGCTAGGACAGCAATCTAATCCTCCACACCCGCCCCAGCCTCCGGCCCCCTTCGTGTCACTTTACACGGCAGCAACACCGAGAGACTTCGCATTCTGCCGTAGGAACACTTCATCGTTTGTGCTTTGTGCTTAGCGTGATTCTATACACAAGCGTAACCAGCATTTGTGACAGGCTGGCTATAGATATATTCTTCCTGAACAGTCAAGTAGAGATCTCAGTGAAGTATATGTGGCCATGTGTCATGGGAAACAGAGGAAGTCCCAAGGAAATGTCTATAGTTGGCACAAGCAGAGCCATGTCAAGGACCCCAACGCCTCAGACAACTGGCAAAACCTTCATTGGGTCGAGGGTCAAACTCAGAGTGCTGGTAAAGCCTCCTTCTGGCCTGAGTGTGAGTATTGACAGAGTGAGTAGAAACTGTCAACACAGTGGATGACTACAGTCTGAGATTGCTCCCCTACGAAGACCTCCTTCTGGTTCCGCCCTGCACCATAAACCTGCCTCCTCAGTTCGGACGTATGAGAAACCCGCTCTTGACTCAGGTGTAATAAAATCAGTTGCTGGTCTGCAACTGGTGTCCTGAATTAGAGCAACATACCCAGTTCCAGCTCCTCTGCAGGTGTGCCTGTGTGTCTGTCTGTCCTTTCTTCATTCCCTCGGTGCCTCAGTTAGTTCAGTCCCTGAAGATGTACAGAGCACCACAGTGTGTGCTGCTCAGAGGGCTGGGAACGTAGCTCAGTGAGAGGGCAAGGGCTCAGCATGCTTTAGACCTTCAGTTTTACATATCATGTATGCGTGTGTGTGTGTGTGGGTATGCACACGAATTCGGTGTCTATGGAGGCCAGAGGTATTAGATGCCCATAGATCTGGAGTTATCTGGAGTTGGGTCTGGGAACCAAACTTGAGTTAGACCCTGATTTTAATCTCCAACACACACATACACACATATAAATAAAACTAACTACAGTGGCAGACTGTTTAAGGAGGGAATGGAAATTTTAACTGGTAATTTTTTTTTTCCTCAACAGGTTGAAGGTATTTTTCTTTAATCTCTGTCATTGAGTGGCTTGAAGATGAGGACAGAAATCAAGACATTTGTGTGTCTAGCTGTATTGAGTACCATGGGCTGAGCCTTCCAAGTGAGAAGATGAGAAATATCAGACACTGTGTGAAGAGCAATAGCCCAAGAAGGTTCGATCCCCACCCCTTTTCACTGTTGCCTTTTTAGCATTTATAGACTAGTCAACTATTGAGTGCAATGCCAGAGTTAGGCATGATGACAGGCTTAGGAAGGGGCACCTATGAGGACATTAAGGACTCCTACATCAGGCTGCAAGGCTCCTGGAGAGGTTTGGGTTGAATATGGAAGACTGAGCAGGAACAGGCCATGGAAGAAACAGGGAAAGGGGAGGTGGGGACAGGGCAGGATGATGAAGTGGGGGATAGCGACATATTTAGTAGGCTAAGCAGCCTGGATTCATCCTAGGGGTGGCAGGAGTCGGAAGGGTTGTCAACATAGGAGTATCATGGCTGGACCTTGGTTTCAAAACATTCCTGTAAATTCAGGGTTCAGGGCTGGAGACAGCCGTTCAGCTAGGGACCTAAGGCCAACTCTGTGAAAGGGATGTGATACCCAACGACTAAGGTGCAGGGATTGGAGGGGAATCCCAGATCCAAGAGCCACTCAGACACACACTGCATTCTTTGGTAGTTGAATGATTTTACGGGATAAGCTAAGAGTCCAAGGTGAGTCCCCAGTTAAGTAGATAAGGGTGATGACATAATTTATTGCAATGGAGACTTTTTTTTTTTTTTTTTTTTTTTTTTTTTTTTGTAGAACAGATATTTTCAAAAAGCAATTGGGTGGCTGGAATAGAAAGTCTGTGCTTAGCATACATGACACCCTGGGTTGGATCCACAATACTCCCTGCAAAATAAATGATGAGCTCAGGAAGAGTGGGAGTGGGTTGCACTGAGCGCACTGCCAGACTTGATTTTCATGTGGGATATCCCGGTGGAGATGTCTTTCATCAGGTGGGTATATTTATAGATCAGGCAGTCTCTGCAGGTAAACAAGGCAGCTATTATGCGCAAGTGCAGGGGGAAAAACACCTTTGATGATGGATATGTGCAGAGTCAGTGAAGGAGACGAGGAGGTCAGCTGGGAGAGAAGGTGTCATGTTTGGGCGGGGAGCAGGGGTGTATGAATGTATGTGTATATGAATGAGTGAGTGAGTGAATGAATGAATGAGACTATAGTGTGGAGAACTCTCATGTAGCAGTTTTCCTACCATATAAATTCCTTTAAGTAGGTAGGAAATTTGCTTTACAAACCAATGTCAATACATTATTTCTAGGCTTAAGCCTGAGCTTCATTCTGTTTCCCTAATTGTAAGTCAACTTCCATTTTCTGTTCTACAAAAGCATTGTGGTGGTGACATGCACTGAGCTGTCACTCTTCTTCAGGCTCCCCTGGCCTTGTATGGTTTCTCTACTCCCCTTGTTTTTAACGAGGTTCCCAACCTGTGGGTCACAGCCACTTTGGCAAACCTCTGTCTCCAAAACTATGTACATTACGATTCATAACAATAGCCAGATTACAGTTATGGGGCAACAACAATTTTATGGTTGGGGGGTCACCACAACATGAGGAACTGTATTAGAGTCTCTCAGCATTCGGAAGGTTGAGAACCACTGACCTAGACAGATTTGAGGACTAATGGTCAGTTATTTATAGAACTTCCTTCCATTAGGATTTGATATTTTTCTCATAGTCAGAGCAGGCAGGGTTCTTTCTGGCCTTGGGAGGTAAAGACCACAGAGGTGAAGTGACCTCAGCACACATCATGACTTGTCAGGGTAGGGACTGTCAACACCAGTCATCCCTGCGGATGTCAATATTGATCATATGATTAGGTGTTTTATCTTTTTCTTCTCAGTAGTGTTACCCTTTCCTTCCTTGTCATCACTGTGCTCTTCGGAAGGAAGCATCTGGGCACATGCCATCCTGAAGGGGCAGAGGTTTGTTCTGCCTCCTCAAGAGGGGACACTAAGCATTTTAAATCTCACCATGCAATTTCTGTTGGAAGGAAGCATCTCTTCAGCTCCCTTCATTGTCTTTTGAATACTCTTTCAAAAACACATGGGTCCATTGACTGTGGGGCCTGGTTTTAAGAGCACTTTAATGGGACTTAACATTGGGGCTGGAGAGGTGATGGCTCAGTGGTTGAAAGTACTGGCTACTCTTCTACAGGACCCAGGTTCAATTCCCAGGACCCACATGGCAACTCACAATGATCTGTAACTCCGGTTCCAGGGAATCCAACGCCCTCTGTGGGCATCCGGTATTCAGGTGGTGCACAGATATACATGCAGGCAAACTGCTCATACACATAAGACTCTTTACATGTATCTAAGTGTGCATACCTCTAAGCCACTATGGCAAGATGGTAACATGGTGGTCAGGTGACTCCACTTCTGACCTCGACATTCCCTTGAAGCAAGCCTGGATGGCTGCTTTCCAGGATTCCTCCTAGCAGAAACTCACGTCTGTCTCTCTCACATGTGCCACATGTGCGGCTGGCTTACCCACACGGTCAGGAGGAAGTGGCCCTTACCTCCCCCAGGAGGAAGGTCTTAGAGGAAGGATTTGAGAGGTAATGTTGGAGAGAGCTTTTTACGAAGTCCTACCTTGATCCCCAAAGAACATTCATTCCCACCAACCAAAAGTGGCCTTATGAAGAAGACACAGGGAGAGCCAACATCACATGGTTACAGAGAGGAGCCAGGCAGAGTTCCACACTGGGAAAGAAGACTGCTCTTTTCAAAAACTGGAACAAGAATAACTGCCGTGGCTGTCACAAGACACAGTACTTGCATTGTTGCATAATAAAATTTTATGATTTAATAAAAACAATCATTGCACCTTGATAAGAACCTGCCCCCTACTTCAGTTTCCCTGAGTGGCTGTGTGTGTCCCCCCCCCCATTACCCACAATTCCATGACTCTTCACAAATAAACTATTTCTCTCCCTCACTTTCTTCTCCTTATTGCTTGGACTTTGAAGTCCAATGTCATGTAAACATTAACTTGCTTCTTAAATAAAACCACAAAGAGCAGCTGTAATCGAGCATATAACTTAAAACATTTCCCATGAGCTCTAAGGAGTCTGATTTCTCTCCCAGTGTGTCTCAAGTTCACAGAATTTCTTTTGAAACACTCTTCACTTATTTGTTATCAAAGTGTTTTGCAAAGAATAGTTACTAGAGATGGTTTCTGGTTGTGCCTCCCACTATTTCCTTTTAGATAGAGTTGAGTTCAAAGATTGTTGACTTACAGAGAAGGCGTGCTAAATAGCAGTAAAAATGGTGAAGGAAAGGAAAAGAAATAGAGGAGGGGAAAACTCACTGGCTGAACTGTGAGATTCACAAATGACACAGACTGAAGATCAAAACCCTAGGCTTCCCTCAGCTTCTAGAATAACCCGTGCCATCTAACGTGCGTGTGTCCCTTCTGTTGGTCCTGAGCCGCTGACTACCTGTATCAGCAGCAACCACTGGCCTTTTTGTTTTTAATACAGTTGTGGCAATCATGCATCCAAATTTCCCTAGAGGACTCTTCAGTTCACTCCAGCACATGCTCCATCCATGTAATCTATGGGAAACTGGTATCAAAGGGGAAGGTTTTTTTTTTCTTTCTGAATTTTCTACAGAGATGTTTTTAGACTTTGCCATGCATTATTTTAATCGACCCCCTCCCACAAAGAGATAGTTTGAAATTACAGTGAATTTTACTAACATGGGCATTTCCACCTTACTATAAATTGCTATCTGGGCTGCCAAGGAAGCAGTCTTAGCCTTGAGGTTTTGACTGTAAATACGATGTTTTCAACACTCCCTTCTCCATCCAATGTTCACGCTATTCAAACTTGACTTGCTAGACCTGAATTGTGTAGCTGTAGGATCTCAAATATATGAAAGATTGATACTAGAAAAAAAAAATACAGCATATTCCCTTTATCTTTTTTTTCCTCCTGCACTGAGTTATTTTTCCTTGACACATGATTAAATACAGGGAGCACTTGCCAAATTACTCTGTGGTTAATCTCTCTCAACAGCAGGAAGCTCAGTGAATTTCCTCAGCACACCATTTCTGATTAGCTGACCTTTTCCAAATGCCAAATGGAACAGTTGTAGTCAATTCTATCGCCCCCACCATCAGCTTCCATTTATCCCCAAAACACGTTTGCCAACCCAAAACAAAATTTTGGTTAGACAATTTCCTTTTGACATAGACATAGAAAGAAAAAGAAAGGAAGAAAGAGAGAAAGAAAGAAAGGAAAGACACAGAATTGGCATAGGCACAGAACAAATGGCTGTGAAAGGAAGTTTCGACCTTATCTTGAAATATGATCACTACTGTTTCTATTCATGCACTAAAGAGTGTATTTTTGCTATCATTATGCTATTATTTTATCTTTTATCATATTCTACTATTATTTTATCTTTTATCATTTTTGCAAAATGATATTAGATTTAATTATTCCTGGTATTAGTGATAACACACCTGACTGGTTTTGAAAACAAGATGGCTATCAGCACATTTTTCTAAACAGCATTAGCACTCTTTCTATTTATGTCCATCCTCTAATCCTTTCCTCTTTCTCTCCAAAGGCACGCAGAGCACCATCGTGTCAAACAAGCACCACGCTGGATGCCGCTGATGAATGACGGATAAACTCTAGGACTCCCTAAAGCTTAGGCTGCTGATCTAAAACTCATTTACAGAGAAGACACAATTGGAATCCCTGGAAGAGAAAGCCAGCGTGGACAGCTTTAACTGAGCTAGAGGCATGTCACCCACCTTTAGCTGTTGTAGCTCATTTTCTTCGGGGACTCCGGCTATGCCAACATTCTACTTTTCTCTGACAACTGGATCTGGGGAAGTTAGTCTTCCTCCTCAGCACCCATCACCTCAGATAGGAGTGCTTGGAAAGACATCGACTGGACAGGACCCAGGGAAGCTGAATAAACTTTCTACAAAACTCAAGCGCCCGCTCTCATCTGCCGCAGCTGCCTGAGTCTCCAGCTACAGGGCCCCAGCAGAAACCACAAATGCACAGGAAATTGGGGAAAATCAGATAAAGGCAAACCATTACATGACACATGTACAGAAGGGAAACAGTTAAGAATTAACTCCAATTAATTTAAGGTTACAGGAGAAAGTGGTACAACGGTTTAGTTAATAAGAAGCTACTCACCAAAGCTGGGGCACAAGAGGCAAATGACTAAGGGCTTTCAGGGCTATCAAGGGGCAGGTGGCTAGACAAACAGCTATGACAAAGATAAATCCCTGTGGGAACCAGGAGTGTGCACTCCTGATGGATGGAGAAGGATTTGTTTGTGTGTCCATCCACCCATACGGACATCTGAACCTATACATTCGTAGATCCATTCACCAAATACCTACTGAATACCCATGTCCCAGAAGATAGTATTGGGGACACTGAAGCCATTGGGAATGCAAGCCTTTATGGCACTTAAAACTCGTTAGCATGCTGAAAGCTTGTTGAAAAGTCCAGTGGTGTACAAGCAGGGATTATGCTAAGAAGGCAGCGCTGAACCCTAGATCTGAGGGCACTGGCTGCTTCTTTGGAATACCAAAGCCCGGTGGAATAAACTGTCATCTATTCCTTTTCCTACTGTGTAAGCTTCCATATTTTAGGCATGACAGCATGTTACCCTTGGCTGTCTGCACTCGCCTATGGTTGGGCTTCTTGAATTGCTGATTTCCTCACTGTTTTGACCCTCTACAAATTCATTTCATATCCATAGATTTCCCAACTCAACATTTACTCAATGTTCTCTGCCTGATACCCATAAATTTATGACTCCACTGAAACCCCAACTTAACCCTAGGGAACTGGGCTCCCCTGTTAGGCTGTGGCAGCCTATTTAGAGCGCTTAGAGTGTAGTCAATGAACAGAGGTAAGCAAAACCAAATTTCAAATGGGTTAAACACCTAGAGCCTGTGTCAGCCTGCAGGATAGTCCGGAGGCAGAAACAGGAAACCTGCTGTTTCTAAAACACTCAGAGTGAGCCAGGTGGTGGTGGCATATGCAGCACTGGGGAGGCAGAGGCAGGTGGCTCTCTGAGTTTGAGGTCAGCTTGGTCTACAGAGTGAGTTCCAGGCCAGCCAGGGCTACACAGAGAAATCCTCTCTAGAAAAACAAACAAACAAAAAGACTCATATTTCTCTGATAGTTCAGGCTGGATTATGGGTTAGAGATAGTTTGCTGGTGGGTATAAGGGCCTCTTTGTAAATAAAAACAGAGAAAAGATAATTTAATTCTGAAAAATAGGTATAGAATAGATAACTACTCAGAAGAGCTAACCGGAAGATTCATTACTATGTGTTGGTTAGCTTTCTGTTGCTATGACAAAATACCCAAGGAAATCAACTTAAAGGAGGAAAGAGTGGCGTTGGCTCATGATCTCAGAGGTTTCGGTTTGTCGTCAATTGTTCCGTTGTTTCTTGGGGCCTGTCTGAAAGCAGACCATCATAGTAGGGAATACATTGTAGAGCAGAGCCCCCCCTCCCCCGCATGGCAGTCAGGAAGGAGAAAGAGAAAGGGAAGCAGCCAGAATTCTAACATATGCTTAAGGGCAGGCCCCAATTAAAAGCTTCCACCTAGACCCCTACCTCCTAAATACTCCAATAGCTATGGAGACCCACCTTCAACACATGAGGTTCCAGATACACTTAAAATTCAAACCACAGAATCCCCAGAGCTGTTCAAAATGAGAGGCGAATGGCTGATGAGCTGACCTCTGTGGGAGGAATATCCCACGGCCAGACACGTGGCTTGCTTTCCTTTGCTCCCTGATTTTTGTTTGTTTTTGGTCACACACTGTGATCTAGATATATGATTGAAGAGATACTGACAAAGGAGGCACAATCCGTTCCCCTTTGGATCTCACAATTACAAGCTAAGAAACAACACATCAAAACACAAGGTAGGTTTCTGATAAAGTATTCCCTCCGAACATCAGAGCAGGATAAAGCCCAGTGTTTTCCAGGACCTAAGGGGGAACACTATTGATGAAAATGAGTTCTAGAGAACAAGAGTCTTTCCAAGTTGGGAGGAAGCGGGTGAGAGGGCACTTGGCTCTTAGTGGAAAAATAAAGTCTCAGGCTAGTCTGCCTTGTTGAGAAATATCACCACTCCCATTGTTAACCAATGAATTCCCTACAGCTAGGATTACAGGCATGAGCCACTGTGCTTGGCTTTGCGTTGACATGCTTTTTAAAGGAAGTAGAGGGCCCAGTTATTTCTGGTTTTCTCAACGGTTCATGCAGTTTCCATGGAGTAAGGATACGCAGAAAGCAAGAATCTGCAGGGAAGGCTGCTATAAGATAAATAGTGTGTTGCTACAAAATAAATTTGTGTGTTGGAGCTCTCTGTCTTCCTGAAGGTGCCTGTATTTGGAATAGAGCCTTCAAGGTCCCAATACAGTAGGACAACAGGGCTGGTCTTTTATTATTTATATATTTCTCTATTGTATGAGGACAGAACCTAGGGATTCATACATGCTAGGCAAGCTCTCTACGGCTGGTCTGTATCCCCAGCCCTAATTTTACTTTTTCTTTTGAGAGGTCTCCCTAAGTTGCATCTCTGTCTCAGACACCTCAAAGCAATGACTTCCTTCTTTTTTGTGTGTTAGCAGAATCTCACTATGTAGCCATAGCTGTCCTGGAACTCAGTGTATAGCTCTGGAACTCAGGCTAGTCCGAACCTCACTGAAATCCACCTACTCTCCCTCCCACATTCTAGGATTAAAGGTGTGCACCACCATGCCTGTCTAGTTTTAAAAATCAATGTTTCCTCTGTATTATTGTTATTTCTTTTCTTTTTGTTAGTTGACGTATACGAGTTCTTTGCCTGCATGTTTGTCTGGGCACCACATGCATGCTTGGTGCTTACAGAGGCCAGAAGGTCTTAGCTCCTCTGAGAGTGGAGGCACAGAAAGTTCGGAGCTGTTGCATGGGCTCTGGGAACCGAACCTGTGTCCCCTGAAAGTACTATTAACATTCCCCAGCCTCCTTCATTTCTTTTTGTAATCACATGGCGCTTCTTAAACTTTTCCCCTGATGACTGAATTTTAGCCAATGCCAAGCATCTAGATTTATGAAACAGTTGTGTGATCAAACATTTACTGACGCCATAAATTTGTTTACACCAATTATTTGCTTCTCATGTAATTTTACCATGTATTGAAGACAAAAGCAAGTCTGCATGACAGCCAGACAGATGTGCCCGTTTGTTTTCGCACAAAACATCAAACTGGCTGCACATTTGATAGTGTAGGATCGGGGCCTATTCCCTCAGGGCTATTTAGGATTCTGGCTTCATCAGTGTCAGCGCTGGGAATATCATTTCGCATAAATGCGAGGTACAAAACAGCAGAGGTATGCTCACGGCAAAGTGCACACATTGTGTGTTCAGAACCAAGGCTGCGGTGGCTGCCCAAAGCCACGCAGGCAAGCCTGCCAGAAACAGGTAGCATTCTTTACCCGTTTGATTTTGCATGAACCTTTGGTTACAAAATATATGGGGTCATGACCTACGGTTTAAGCTGGGATTTAAGGGGTTGGGGGATTTAGCTCAATATGTCCTCATCTCTGGAAGTTAGGATTTAGATGCTTTTATGGTTTCCTAAAATGAGTTTAGATTGAGAACGTGACTGATGGCAAAACTACTGAACTGATTACTCAACTCTTTATCTGGGCAGTCAGATGAGAGAATCCAGCAGATGAGGGCCCAGATCACAGATGGTGATGTCTTGCTTGCCTCTACGAGGGAGATGTACTGAGACATACATGTAAAACAGCGTGATTTGTTCCTCACAAAGACGTGTAAGGGCAGATCATAATTACATCAAGAGTCCTATCTGGCTTCCTCTCTCTTGTATCACATGATCTGGGTAAAACTAGCATTTACTTAAAGCCTGAGGGGAGGCCCCTATGGTCAGCACCTAAGGCCTTGCGTCAGCAGCCATTTAAGTTCTCCATCTTGGAAGCAAAAGTTAGAACCACTTAGGTATTCCCAGAGTCTTGACACAGAGAAGCTGTGAAATAGAAATAATTTCTTGTCTTAAGTCCCTGTGTTTGGGGTAACTGGTTACACAGGAAAAGATGCTGGGGTGCACATCTTATACCTGGCGCCCTCACTTCATTAGGCAATATTTTTTAAAAACACATTTTCCAATTTTTGCTCTATGAATATTTCCTACTTTAACCGACTATTAAAGGGACATGTCCTTAAGGTTCAGAACTTAGTAAAATGAATACAGCTCATCAAGGACATTTTAAAGTGCCGTCAGCTATCTATATCCTCCCACAAGTTCAAAAGTGCAACTTCAGACACAGACATAGTTCGGTGCCTGATTCATTCATGCCAAGGTCAAGTTTACCCACCATTTGAAATGTAATATATGTAAATATATGTCTGCCCCTCTCCCTAAGGTCCCACTGACAAACCAAGGTACAATTCTGCCACAGTTCACCCTGGGGAACCAATGAATTCAAAGGCTTTCTTACAGAAAGAGTACGGGTGAGGGCTTCCTTACAGAGGATGTAGGCTCTCCTCCCCCAAAGGCCACACCTGGAAAGATTTCACCCATCAGGGATGAAGGCTTCCCTGAAGCTGCCCTCTTCCCTAGTCTTGCCAGGCCTACCTACTACAGCCACTCCCAGAGGCCAAATGCAGTTAAGGGAGAATTGCAAATGACAAGTTGGTAGGGAGTGACTGGATAATCAGTTCCACGAAGGGATGTACACAGCCAGCCATCCCAGCTGGGATCATCCTTTTGTTCCGGGGCCCAACTAAACTTCCCAAGATGGAGTCTGTAAAAATTTTTCTCCTCCTTTTTGTGAGTAGGGATTTGAGACAGGGTTTCATGTGTGTTGAACTTAATATGCAGGTAGGGATGACCTTAAATGCTTTATCCTCCTGTCCTCAAAGCCCAACATACTGGAATTACATCCAGTTCATATAACTAGTTTTGACTAGGTCGATGCCCTAAAAGGGTCTGAGACCTCTACAAGGTTCAAGGAATGGAGCAACATGGGGGAAATGTCAGCACCTCTGAGTAGTCATTCTTCATGACCGACTTCAAGACTGTATCGTATAACACATTGCCTCA